CTGAGTAACTGGTCCCTGATTAAAATAAGATTGTTGTTTGAGACAATATCCATGCTACGTTTGGACCCTTGTATGATGCTGAAACTGCAGTGGAAAATTGCCTCAAAAAAAGGAAAAAAGGGTACCACAAACCTAACAGGATGTGCAATTTACCGCCACCCCCCCCCCCCCCCCCCCCCCCCGCCCCATGGTACCTTCACATCACAAGCTACCAGTAAGATGACAGTAAAAGGGGACAACTGGAAAAAAAAAAGCAAATGACTACAGCCATCCTCCGCTTAACTGACTATAAAATAGCTTGTATCTATATCGAATGGACAACGGTAATTATGTTGAAGAATGCCATAAAAGCTTTCTCATAAAAAATTCTTTATTACTCAACGTATATCTTTTCTTTTATACTGCATTCATCTTAGAACTGTCAATCGCATCTGTAAGCAATGGAGAAACATTAGCGGCTTTTAAAATAGTTGCTTTGGTTATGACCTTCTTGTAAAGGCAGATATATGAACACTTTGTTTATGCAAAGTTGATCAGTAGAGGACTTATTGCCAACAATGCAATTGCAAGGGTTTTCCTTATTTGTATTTATATAATTTGTATATATATATTTGTGCCATCTTGTGAAGAAGGCATAACGATTTAATACAAAGTTGGTCACATAAAAGAGTTGATTTCAAAATGTCTGCTTGATATCACAAACCAGTCCTTGTCCAGCAGAGCAGCGTGGGCTCTTTTCCAACATATATTTTTGGTAAAGCTGCAGGCCTGGAGAGAGAGCCACTGTTTGACTTTTGATAGCTTCTACCCATTGATCTGCAACTGGCTCCCAGCTCTAATGAATAATGAATGGCCATATTGTCATCCCACACGGATCACATTTCACATGGCGACTGACTGCACTGGTGATCAGCCAGGACTCGCTGGGTTCAACTCGCCAGCTACGTCAGTGCAGATGGAGCCAAATTTCATTGGCGTTTTCACAAGCTTACAATTATAAGCTATACATTTGTTATGATCTCGGGTTTAAGATCTAGGGTGTAGATGTGGAACTATTTCTTTAACTGAAAGTTGAGCAGAGAAGCAGGGAAGTATAAGAAAGAGGGAAATTACTGTATGATGTATTACTGTCGGATCTGGAGGAACAATTATAAGGAGGTCGCCACGCTCTATTTGACCTAGAAACTATAAAGATTGCTTTTCAGAGTCTGTAAGAAGGAAGCTGTGTGACTGGTGCTTTCACTGCTGAATACAACCATGGATAGTTATCTGTCATCCAGTGCATGAATTAAAGTGAGCCGTAAAGCAATTGGTGAAGATAATGAGCACCTCCTGTCATACAATATAACTCACTTCTAAGGCATTCTGGGGGAAAGCTTTTACAAAAATATTGATGGTTTTATAGGTTCTTATAAGATCCTTAGCTATGATATATGAGTGATGCAGTTAAATGTAGGTTTTGAGGAGCAATCATGTCCCAAATGAAACAGTGTTTGACACAGCTTAATTAACTTAGATCTGTGTATATGATACTGATTCAACAGTCAGAAAAACAGTGCCAAATTCTTGCCAGTGAATCATTATCTTTGCAGGATACCAAATAAAATTCCATTTCATTTTCATTTAATGCGAAATAAGCATGAGAACACATTTGTTTACATTTGATGGATGTGTAAAAAGGTGCAAAAGTGGACGATAAAGAGAAAAAGAGTCAAACAATCAACAGTAAGGTGTATTGAGGTCTTTTATGCTAACGATACTAGGAAATGTTCTGTTCCTACTGTATTTAAATATACTGTAGAGATTCATACTATCGTTTTACACATTAACAGCCTTCATTTGAAACAGGTGAAACTTTACAAACATCTGACTCATATTATAGTGTTCTATTTTTTTAAGACTGATCCCTTCATGTTCCCAGTAAGCAGCAATAATTTGGAGAGCTTAAAACAGGCTAATTGAGAACAGCGGGCAGCTCTCTTAAAACTGTTCAATCCATGGCTGATAAATGTTCGCTCTTGTGATGCGGTGGTTTGCAGTCGGCCACAGAGAAACTGTCTATGACAAGCTCCTCAAAGTGTTGCATCTAGCTTAGAGCGATCATCTAAACCACAAAGAAATATAAATAAAACACCTCTGCTTTGCCAGAAGATATACTTTCTATAAGAGATGAGGACACTTTGATCTGAAGTACTCCTAGGTAAATGCAGATCATTAAGGATTGATAAACGCTGTGAGAATGGGTCTGCAGAGAGAATTTTGCGCGATCCCAACTGTCTGTTATCAGCCTGAGGCACGGAGCAGAAATCAGCAGGGCTGCCTGCACTGAGTGTGTGTGTGGATTGGTCAATTTGAACCAATCAGCGGGGGCTTAACGTAACGGCTCCGCGGACGTAACGTAACGGCTCCACGGATTGGCCCATTTAGTTCCGGGTACGTGCTTTCGTAAGCACGTACCCGTTAGAATCAAATGGATGATGACGTCATGATGACGTTTCACCAACGATGCGTTTTGGGGAGGTATTTTCTGTTTTAGAGTTTTACTCGCTACAGGGTGTACTTTGAGGGTTTTGACTCTGCACACCGTTTACATGCATAAAAACCTTCATAACACACAAGGGGACAGGTAATAACCGGAAAAGCATGACATGTCACCTTTAATGCATTTAACTGAGGAAATGTTGGTGGACCACATTAATGGTCATTCCATTCAAAAAGTTGTGAAAGGAGGGAGAGTTTTAAGATTGACTTATTCCTGGTTTCCTGCACAAGGCTGTCACCCCAGCATTTACTACATAATCCTATTACAACACGATATCAAGAGATTTTGGCTTCTCTTAAAACGTTTTCTTTTCACTGGGCGATTTGTCGGGGAGGGGTGTTGGTGGGATCATGCCACTATCTATAAAAGTCAGCCTGGTGGATGGATTTAGACCCTTTCTCTTTCCCTAATTACTGAAAAGAGGTTTAACTCAGTTACAGTCTGTGTTCTGTAGGGATAGAGCAACTTAAAATGTGGTGAAAATCCAGAATCAAACATGAATGTCTCTTCAACTTTCCGAGGTCATGCTGTAGCCCTGACTTTATTGAATGAAAATAAAGTCAGTTTATGCGGATGTAAACTTCAAAACATAGACATTGCTTTTCGGTACACTACTAAAGCAATAGCAAAACAAACGGCTGCATTTTCAGGGCTGTATGGCATTTCTTCTTAGAGAGAGACGTGCTTTAAAGGTCCCATGGCATGGCCATTTCCACTGATCATAATTCCATTGTTGAGGTCTACTAGAATAGATTTATATTGTGCAATTTTCCAAAACTCACATTGGTTTCTCATACAGCATCTCTGTATAGTATGTGTATTCACTCTCTGTCCTAAACGGCTTGTTGGAGCTCCTGCCCCCCCTCCCTGTGAGCCCAGTGCCCGTCTGCGAGACACAGCGAAACCCAGCGCGAAACACACACCCGCAGCCTGGCTGGGAGTTTGTGTGTGTGCCCAGGCTGAGTTCCGCGGTGTCTCTCGCCGAGCCCACACCAGTGAGCCAGCTCACAGTGTCCCGCTCCTCGCAGCAGCGAGCTTCGCAACGTCCCGCAGAGTATGTGTGTGTGAGGAAGTCCGCGGATTGGTCCAAACGTAACGGCTCCGCGGACGTAACGTAACGGCTCCGCAGATTGGTCCATTTGGACCAATTTGTTACGTTACGTTACCATACCCGAAATACGTCACAGAACCCAGGAAGCAAACAATGGAAAAAGAGAAATCCCCAACGAGGCGTACTGGGCCAGCACAGACAGGTCTTTTCTGTGTTCGAGTTTTACTTGCTACAGGGTGTACTTTGAGGGTTTTTGACTCTGCAGACCGTTTACATGCATAAAAAGCTGCATAACAAACAAGGGGACGGGTAATAATCAGAAAAGCATGACATGGGACCTTTAAGTAAAAGAGTTTGAAAGAGTTTAAAGGTTAGGATAGTGATCTCATTACTGGAAGGTCACTGGTAAGGTTGGCCTTGTACAAGGCCAGTATAAACCCAACTGCTCCAGTGAAGCTCCTCAGTGGCCGACAAACAAGACTATGGTTTTTACTAAGCTTCTCCTAGATGTCAAATATTGCTGAAGATAAGCATTCACGCTAAGGAAACCTACCCTAGTTAAATAAAGGATGAAGAAAGATACATATAGGAAAGTAAAAATGTTTAGTGTGATGCTCTTGCCGCCCTGCACACTGGTGTTAAGAAACAATAGATGGCTTTAAACTTCTGATTTAAGATCTTTATAATGCCTGCCTTGGATCCTGGATGCCATTAAAACAATCCACCACAAACTGGTTAAAGGGGTCCTATTATGCTAATTCTCGGTTCATAGTTGTATTTTGTGAAATGTTTACATGCTTTAATGTTCAACATGCTTTATTTTTCTCATACTGCGCACCTCTTTTCAGTTTTCACCCTCTGTCTGAAACCCAGTCGGCTCTGATTGGTTAGCTGGCCGGCTTTTTTGTGATTGATCAACTGTTAAGAGACGTCCCGCCCCTTAGCCTATCACATACAATGTGTTGGAGCGCTAGCCAATAAGTCAATAAGTGTTACATAGTGCTGTCACTATGTCACTGAAGTAAACAAAGGAGTCCAAGGTCAGGAGTTTGTGGGAGAGAACTTTGGATTGGAGCCTTTGCAGGCCATTTACGAGAAAAGCCCAAATAGCATAAAAGGCCCACTTTAACAATACTTTCTAGTGCAATACATGAAGCTATTTTAGTTATATACGGCATACACATATACACGGTACTATATGTGGCCCTTGTTGTTCCACAGATACCATATTCACTTTTATTCACTAGTTATTTTTCATTTGCATTCATCACCTTACAAGTGAAATTTGAACTGAACTTGGGGACTATTACTAGTCAATGCTTCAGAGCTAACTAATTGTTGAATGACACACACAAGGTACAAATGAGTGGATCGTGTTGTGTGAGTCAGCAAAAGGTGTTCTCTTACCTGCAACAGGTGAGTCAGCTGCAATTACTGTTACCAACACCATTATCCCCAGGAACACTGCACGCTGGCCATGGGCATGCATGAGAGCCTTGAGCAACACCACCAAACCCACAGAGGAGACTAAACCTGCCATGGTACGGCAGGGGCACGGTCAAGGCATTTCAACAAGGTGAGAAGACAAGATTCACTCCAAGGTTTTTGTTCAATCCAGCTGCCTGGTTTGGTCTCCTTCAGTTCAAGGCTCCTCCTTCCATAACATATGCTGCAATGAAGAATGGCTGTTGAAAATAAAGGAGCAACATTTTCTGTTATTACTTAATAATAACTTATTTAATCAGCCTTTAGTTGGAAGAAACTGCTGCTGAACTTAAGTTAACCAAACAATAAAGATGTTTATTGAATTCAAAACCTGTATTTGATTAAAGTAACATTCTCATAGCAAATAATGTTGGCAATATATCATATCAGGGGCAGAGGTGTTAGTTAGAATACAATAATTATATTTGGACAAATACATCATTGTTCAGGAAATGCTACGTTTCTATGTTTTCTTTTATTTGAGGTAATTACCAAAAACAATCTTAATGCACGTGGCCTTTTACAAACAATGAAGCTAAAGGTGTTCTTAATTCCTATTCTAAAACAATTTTTTGTCATGGACTTCAAAATTTTATATAAATCCTTTAAACAAACATAAAGGGCTACACATTCTAGTATTTATAAAAACATGTTTTTTTAAATGGGGGTTTGTTTTCATATTGTTAAGTCAACCTG